GAGAGGATCACTGCAGGCACCCTTAACAGTTACCAAGAAAACAACTTCTTAAGTATAATTTGTAAAGTCCAAGTTAGCAAAACTAGCACAATCTCCCTCATCCAGCCCCTCTGTCCAGGTCCAAACATGCACCCTCCCATCTCCCACCAGCTCTTCCCCAAAGAACAGGTCATGTCTTCCCAGGAATTTTTAAACCCATAATTCCCAGGGCAGCTCTACTGCTTACCAAATTTGCCAAGAAGCCAAGAAGTCTGCACAGGCTGTGGACTTAGACCCTAGTACACTTGTATGATAATGTGTGTGAAAGTAAGATAGAGTAAAAGGGACTAGAACTACTCTGACTACCTTACATTTGCGAAGTCAGGTCAGTCTTGGTGTGGGAGTTGAACAGGTTAGAGACTAGAAAGACAATAGCTTTGTTGGACAGAACTTTCTTGTAAAAGCTTAGATCGACTACATTAAAACACTCAACCTTTATACAAGGGCCCCAAAGGAAATAATACTGGCAGTTTTCCTTTTCTAAAAGTAATACTTGCTTTTCGACTCAGGGGATTGGCCATCACATTTCTATTGAAATTATTCATGGGAAAATTGCTTGGATGTCCTAGTAATATATTGGCAGTAACAACACAATATTTCTATCACAATCAACCAGACGCCAGGGAATAACTGCTTCTATTGATTAAGTCAAAAGCCTAGTCGATTTATGAGCATATAATAAACTTGGAGTTGATGTATTGTTTTTATTTATTTATTTGCATTTGCATCTCTTTCCAGCCTACAGAATCCAAAGGATTTAGCAAGCTGGTTGAAGGACCAAGGATGTCCTCTATTATGTCTACCATGCTCTAAAGTTTTCCAGTAAAGAGGAGATAAAACAGACTCAGTTGACACGTGCTCAAAGTCAAACAAGGAAGTGAGAGTCCACAGAGCCAGAAACCATGGGTGTGGGAAGGGTCACAAAACAGACTCTGAATTTGAGAACAAAGAGGCGGCATTTCAGTTCCAGACAGGCAGCCCAGGGAAAGAAAAAGTGTCATCTGAGAGTGAGATGGGACAAGGCCTCTGGAACAGAGCCGAGCAGGTAGAGATGTGGGAAAGGATATTGAGTGCTGGTACATTGTCCAGACCAGAGGAGACATGGGATCAATGCTTCATGGTTTCAGGCATCTGATTCTGAAACTGTTAAAGCAATGTCCTGGCTTCAGGAGCTGAGACAAAGTAGGCAGTAAACTGATGCCCATTAAAACGAGACAACTTGATTGTGCTTCTGTTACTACACAGCAATTGCTGCTGTTCTTCAAATTTGTTCTGATGGAAAAACTATTTTGGTAGGTTACACCCCACATAACCAAAGGTGACCTGGTTTCCACTGATAGAATTAGTCACAGAATTAAAAAAAAAAAAACAAGCTGTTCACATAAAAAGTTGAATGAAGAAATAATACCCACATCTGTAATATTTTTATGTTCATGCTCTGCTATGATATTGGTGTTTATGTCTCCATTTATATCAGTAACATGTGTTTTACATAGCTGGCATTAAAACTCTCCAACATCAACTATTGATAAATCCTTAAAATATGAATATTTAAGACACATTCTCTGGAAGCACATCACCCCAGCCCTGCTCAGACCAGTGGCCTGTGTTCCTGTCAGAGCTCGATCACATTAGCTGAGACACAGCCACAGCCGCCACCCCTGACACACCTGCTCTTGTACTGCTCAAGGCTTTCAGGAAACCGTCTTTCACATACAGTGAACCAACCCTTTTCTAGAGGGCGATACCATAGGCACCAGGCTTGCTGTCCGCTACTGTGAAAATGAAAGAAGAGCCATCATCCATGCCACGCTTTCTGACAGCAAGGAAATAAATCATTCCTTGGGCCTGGGAGCACTTCGGGTTTACATCAGGATTAATTCAGTTTAGTGTTCATTTTATCAAAATTTTCATTTATCCAGGGATCCTACCACAATACATCAAAATACTTTCACACATTCTTGAAACGATCATCAATTCTGATTTCATGTCAACAGAGAGATAACCACTTTTTGTAATTTTTAAGGTCACCTATATTTGCCACACATTTTCCTAACAATGCTCAGCCAGGCCCCGAGTTAAGCCAGTTTAGATACATTTCTATTTATTTAATTTTGGCTTCAGTAGGAACCCAGGCTGAATCACGTGACAAGTGTGTAAGGCTATCTTATACAAAGAGTTAGGGTTCCATACAGAATTGGAAGCTCTAGGTCAACTCTGCAGTTGCTAAGTCCATCATCCAAGCTTACACATTTGAAGCCAGTAATGCTTTCTGTTCCCGAACTGGGAAAGTTGGCGAATGTGGCAAGCTCCCTGTCTGTCCCTCCTTAAAGCCTAATGGAAACCTCTGAACACAACCGCAAGTCTTTGGTAGAAAGTGAGAGAGAACTGCGGACACTAAGGAATTAACCTACTTCTCCCTAAAACCAAAAGAGCAAATGTTCATAGAAGAGTCCCTGAGGGACACAGATACAATCATTTTTTTTTTCTCCAAAATAGTAGAAATCCTATTTTAACTGAGTTAAGACATTGCTCTGTGAGACCCTTCCAAGGAATTTTATTGAAATCAAAGAAAATGTCAGTGAGCCCCGTGAATCCAGCCTGTTTGCACTGTCCATTCCCAAGGTGTATTTTAGTGATATAAAAGGTATCAGACTATTTGTGATATTTTAAGGAAAACCATTTCATTACTCTGAAGTTGTAGCCTACATATGTTCACTGAAGTTTTGCAAATAACTTTTTCTAGAGATTTTAAAAATAATTTGGAGAATAAAGTCTGACTAGAATATAATGAAAAAGGAAAGCGTTAAGGGAGGTGATGGGGGCCCACAGTGCTTCACCCGCAAGTGCAGCCCATGGGTGCACCTCAGCAGCAATAACTTCTCCGATTCCTCTGGGGGTAGAGGTTTGCTTGAAAGCCATCTGTAAGTGCATTCCCAGCTCTTAGTGAACTCCACAAATTAGTCCAATCTGCTGCTCTCTGAAGATGCACCCAGAGTCCATTGCTAACGCACCCACCAGTAGGCTTCAAGAAGCCGTGAAGCCCTTCACAGCGTTACAGACATCTTACAGCCTATCAACACCCGTGGCTGCTCTTCTACACAGAGGGTCACAAACTTTCATCCGAGTCACAAAAGATTTTCAGCTCCCCAAAAAACGAATAAATAAAACTCAGAACTACTGCTTTCAATCATTACTAATTAATTTCCCTGTGTCAGGAACAAAGGCATTGTGAGGCTGTTTGTGTATGTGTGTGTGGATGTAGATCTGTCTGTGTTATCATGCACCTGTGTATTTGTTGCTGCATTTGTAGTTCTCACACCAAAAAGAAATCTTGGTGTTAACCACGTCTTATTTAAACTAAGCCTATTTGTAGGAATGTTCTTATGTTTTCTCTGTTATAAATTGGAAATATAAATGAATCAGGCTTCGTGGGCTTTTATTTTCTAAGAAACAACTCTGTGTGCTTTCACTGAAGGAAACGGAGAATGTGAGGGCAAGGATAAATTCCGAAATCCTGGAAGAGGGCGGTCCATTGCTCCACCCATTTCCTGGCACTGACCCACATAGCTTCAGGGAGGGGATGCCAGGGACTGCCGTCTCTACACCCCTCTGTGAAGCAACACAAACTGTGACATCTTGGCCTTAGTAGTGACCCCCATTTTCTTAGCATGTTTCAGTGTGGTTTAAACAGCACCCATCTTGAGTCACTGATGTGTTAGATCACTCCTTTATGAGAAAAAACTCAACTCTGAGAAGCACGGACTTCGATCAGGCCCTGGGAGACTAAAATACTTCCATTTTAGAAGTAAAACAGGTCACGTCAGTCAAGTCTATAATCTCTTGCTCAAAGCAAAACACCAAATCCCAAATTATTATTTGTTATTGGGAAGCAGTTTCTTGGCTTAAAATTGAACCATAGCCAGAAGGGTTAGAGAAACACCTTCGACTACCAAGAATGTTTTTCAAACCATATTTAAATGAGTTTTTGCTACTTCTATCAAGTAACTGCTAGGGGTACCCTAAAAAATTATCGCATTTTTACAGTATTACTCAATTTCCCAACCAAAGTGAGGAGCCCGGCTGAGAAAACAGTATGTGGTATCAAATGGGCGAGGAGGAGTTACTCAGCGAGCAGCGACGCTGCTGGGACTGGCACTCGGAAATGCATTTCCTTCTCGTGCCTCACGGGCAATTTAATGCTTCCTCCAACACGTTGAGCCACACAGTACGGACAGGAGAGCAAATCTGGCCTGAAAGTACAATGCCTGCCAGCGCAGCATAAACAGCTTAAATACTTTCAGAAAGACCTGTGAACCCCTTCATTCAGCAAATGGGCATTGACCAACCATCGCGTGCCTACCGCCTTGCCTAGCAGGGCAGGACATGGTAACGGCAGATACCTTGTCTCTGGGAGAATCTGTTATGACTTTTAGCTGTTAAGAATCAGTGATTAAATTGATCATCTGTGATTGGAAAAAAATGCACACCTATTTCAGCCAGGAGTCTATTTAACAAGAAAAAGCAACCCATGGCAGAGTCTGAGAGTTTAATAAAAAGAAATTTAGCCATTTTCTTTGCCATTGTGACAACTTCTGGAGGTTGCCAATTTTCACTTCCCATTTTTCATCTAAGAACTAAACCACTTGCTTAGATCCAATCTTTTGGCTGCTGGCTTAGTACTTTCTTCTCTCCCTCCTTACCCGTGGGGCACCTGTTAGTCAGTCTGACCAGCCCATCCTGGGGAGAGGGCAAAGTCCTACGGACCCTGGTGGGGAGACCACAGAGCTATCTCCTGTACATTTCCACGCAACATTTCATCCCTCCATATCTTGTTACCTCCCCCGTGCTCAGTAATTTTAGTTTGTGCTTTTTGTTTTTCTTTTCTTTTTTTTTCCTTTGGTTTGCTGGCTTTCTGTTCTCTTCCCCTTTTTTCCTTTTATTTTCCTTTTTTAATGCAGGAATTGGTCAAGGCGTCCCAGTGGTGGCACTCATCGTGGAAGGAGGACCCAACGTGATTTCGATTGTTCTGGAATACCTTCGAGACACTCCTCCGGTGCCCGTCGTCGTCTGTGATGGGAGTGGACGGGCATCCGACATCCTGGCATTTGGGCATAAATATTCAGAAGAAGGCGGGTAGGTGATGTGCCTCGGCTCAGGGCTCAGGCAGACCATGGCATATGTGAAGGCTGTGTTCATTCAAAGCTTGTAAAAGGGGGGATTCGTGTATTAAGCTTTCAGTAGCTCAGCTAAGTGTTCACATAAGAATGAGCCATCAACAAGTTACCTAAAGGATGTTTGCCATGGGAATGTGGTGGGGGAGAAGAAGGGCAAGTTCTAAGTGCCTCATGAAGCAGGACGTTTCCTAACAGCTGTCCTAGACTGCGCTCATAACGAAACACAACACCAAGGAGGCCAGAGCAGGTGGGTTTTTCCCTCTGTTTCTGCTCACTCTTTTCCTCTTTAATACAACAAAGTAGAAACTGAGTTTGAACTCTTGAAGCACAGGTAGTGTAGACCACACGGTGCTTGTTAGGAACCTGAGAGAAGCTGGACACTCTAAAAGAAGCTGGACATATCCCAAACAGCATCTTGACTTCCCCACCCAATGCCCATAGAAGAAAGGTTACACATCTTACAGATAGGCAGGCGGTGGACAGATGATCAGAGAAAGGAAGTGCTTTGTCCTAGGACACACAGCCTACTGCCCCAAGCCAGCATCCTTTCTGGTTTACTGTCAAAATTCACTGATACAAGTTCTGTGCCGTAAGATCTGTCTCTTCATCGATCATGTTTTAGATTGTTAAGTACACTTAAACTGCCATCAGCTATATCTTTGCATTAGCATTACTAAATGTTTTGTATTATTCCTCATATTTCAAAAAGAGAAATCAACATAATCCTAGAAGTAAATCACCGTCTAACGTGATCATCCCCTTATCTGGTGATTTCTTCCCTTGCTCTATTGACACCGTTATATCCCTATGGCAAGATGAGCACTACACAAGTTTTTCCTGAGTCCTGAAAGACTATAAACACTCTGTCTCACTCACTCACACTCTCTCTCTCTCTCATGTAAATCTATAGTGAGGGCTTTAAAATTCACAAAATGCATTTCAAATTTGTCTGAGTGAGGCACCTGGATGTTGCTGAATTTTCCCACATTCCTTATGCAAATCTTAGGTGTTGACCTTGGACCACAGGCATGATGCGAACTCCTCAGCATTGATCGCCTGCTGTTAACCTTCCACACTAAAAAGGCACTCGTGTGGAACTGTACAAAAATTCACATCAGTTCCTCTCTTCTAGAAAAGTCATTTTCTTGAAATCTTTTATTGTCCTAATTGTTGAACTGTCCTAGAGTCGATTGTATTTATTGTTGTTGATTGTACTTTGGGGAGAATATTAAATTCATAAGCAAAAACCCCTAAGTCTTGAGTATACTGTAAACAATCTATTCCTTGGTCTAAATCCACAGAAGCCACATTCAGCATGTTAGAGACAGACCTAAACCTTCAAGCTTAGGGTTTTACCAGTTGATGGCATATTTGAAATTTTATTTGCCTCTAGTGCAGGAATGGCAAAGTTTTCATCTTGAATGTCAGCTGTAATCAGTTAGCAATGAGACGTGTTAAGAATGAAGCGTAGACCACACATGAACTCAGAGAAAAGGGAATTGTGACAGATCAACAGTGTCCACTGAGACAAAGAAAGGAATTGACAGTCAGCTTGCCCCGAATGTCTACTTTTACATCACAATGAAGCCAGACATCTAATACTCACACGGTTAAGATTACCCAGCATTCATCCAATAATACAGTGAATTATGAATCCAGTAAGAAAGGGAAGAATCTCAACTGCCTACAAATGTGGTCTATTTTTAAAAGCATAAGCAGTATAAATCCCAACAGTGCTTAAGTTATTAGATGACATCAGCATTTCCACACAAGCCCAATCTGTAGGAGACAAAGGGCAAAAAGCTCTTCACTGGAGATTACATTTGGAAAAGCCAAATGAGCAACTCCCTCTGTCAATACACATTGTATATTAAAAACAAATAAAACAACAAAAGTAGAGCCTTTTTGAGCACCTCAAAGACTGGTACATGACAAATTACTTGCAGGTGAGAATTTATATCTGCTCATCTTCTTTCCCAGAACCTCTGACCATCAGCATGCCTGACAAAGTAAAATTAGTATTTTGTAGTGCTTCTAGCAGAAGGGTCTTGACATCTACTCAATTTCATTAACTTTATGAGGTAGCTTTGATCATCACCCCCTTTCTAAACATGAGGAAATTGAGGACAGAAAGGTCAGGAAATTTGTTAGACATCTCAGGCTTGAAGAAGGATCTGCCCAGGGCAAACTAATGCTAGAACCAGTGCCCTTGACGGCTTTGCCGTTTGCCCAAGGCAGAAGCGACCCCGGACCATAAGCGGTTTATTTTGCTTCCTTCAGAACCGACTTTAGAGAAGGGAGGAAGCCGTCCCGGCCTCCATCTTCTCTTCTTTCACATCAATACTAAGCCAACATGTGCTCGTCCCACTGCAGCTGATTCTCTTACACAGGAACTGAACGAGTCAACATCTCCGCGATCCCTCCAGCCCCACTCCTGATGGTGTTCCCTGCTGGAATGCCACTTGGAAGGGACACACAGGATGTGCTTTTCTTATAAAGTTGGCAGACGCGCTCCCTGACCATGTGGCAGCCCCCATAATTCTTGGCAGCCCTTCAGCTTTCACCCAGGGGTACATTCATAACCAAAGGCAAAGCAAGCGAGAGAAACCAGAATGACACAACCAGCACAGTTTAGAATTTTTCATCCAAATATCCCAGCAATGCCTGAGGTGGACAATTTGGCCACTCCAGCAGCCTCAAGAATACCATTGTCCAGTAGTCTTCTGTGATGATATAAATGTTCTGTTTGTTCTGCTCAATTAGAGAAGCTCGGAGAACTTTTGCTGTGGCTACTGTGATTAAGGAATTGAATTTTTTATTTAATTGTAATTCATTAAATTCAATTAGCCATACCTGGATTTCCATAATTAGTTTCCATCACATTGGCATGCTCGAATGTCTGGCACATTTCCAGGTTCCAAAGGGCTTCAGAACAATTCCTAGAAAAAATATTAAAAGAAAAGTTTGTTTCGGTTCAAAAGAATTTTTGAATCAAATGGTTAGTTTTTTGGTAATACTTTCCATGAATGAAGACCTCCTGAGTTTGACATTTCTAACTTCATATTTCTAAATATTTATCTTCATCTATCAGCAGTGGGCCATATGCAAAGTTTGCTTTTCAGCCTAGTCCTGCCAAGGCAACCACAGGCGTGATGCAGGATGACTGATCTCAGAGTGACATTCTAAAAATCTAATGGAAACGTCTCCCACTGTTGGAACATTCAGAGAGAATATCGTCCATCTGCTGATTCACTTCCCAAGTACCTGAAGCAGCCCAAGCCTAGCCAGTCCAAGAAAGGAGCCCCAGGCTCCAGCCCCAGGCTCCAGCCCCGTTTCCCGCGTGAGCCACCATGTGCTGCCAGCCGGGATTCAACAGACAGCGTAATAATGACCCCCACTTCAGCCCTCACATCTCGTTTAGCCTCTTCCGGCCAACCAGCATAATGTATCCATGCTACAACTAACCTTTAGCTCTACCATGTTCAACACTACTCTAGGTTCTGATGAAAATGTAACAGATAAAATGGATAAAGATCCTGACCCTTGTGAAACTGCAGCAGCTAGTGTACAATATACACATGGTGTAATAATGTTGGAAGTGATGAGCTATGCAGGAAAGCCAATGGGGTAATGGACAAGCTTTTGTTGAAATGTCTTAATTAGGACTGAGGAGAGACGAGAATACATTTTCTCCTGCACAGCCCCAAAGTTTACAATCGGGCTAGGGTTTTCCTAGAGTCATGCGTGGTATCAAGTGCCAGCTTTCAAATTCACGTAACATTTAAGAGATGCTAAATGCCGCTTTTACCTACCTCACAATCCCTGACTCATCACCCACCTTCTGCGTCTTTCAATGTTTCTGGCCTCTGTTTTACTGTAGTAACCCAGTTTTCCGGATTGTTTTTTTTTTTTAATAAAAAAATAAGAAATGATTGCCCTGTGGACAGTGATAAATGAAGTTTGTTGGAAAATGGTCTGACTTATCACTGTATGTGCATGCTGTGTCATTACGGGCACTTTTAGGTCCTTCTAATGACCCACTTTGCTAGACAAACCCCGAAGACAGACCCAGCATTAGATGCATTATCTCACAGCATTAGATGACAGACTGTCTGGAGTTGACCCTCAAAGAATGGGCAAACTAAACACCTAACCAGGCCAGCCCATCTTTGCCACTGTTCCATGTCCATCCCATCCTCCAAGCCTCTGAAAAGCATCCATTATGGTTAAAAACAGCATGCATTGAACTAAATGATCACTAATCCTAAGAGTTGCTGTTAAGCCTAATTCTTGAGCAAAATACTTATGTAACGTTCGATTCAAAAAGGGAATTTGGGCATTTGGTAACACAGTAAACTCTGGAAACAGTTAACCTCTTCCCACACAGAAAGAATAGAACAGGTGTGTACAGAACAGCGACTCCATAATGTCAGCACACCGAGTCGAGCCTGGCTTAGGCCCATGCCTTTCTGCTGACCGCTTCAAGGCCAGCTCTGCGGCCTTTCAGGTACACATATGTGGTCAGTTCCTACCATAGGCCTCTCTTCGTGTCTGCTCTGATGTGCTGTCATTTCTTTATGCCAGAGTCAAGTCTGTCGCCACACACTCCTATTAGAGCCACCCCTGTCACTTACACACACAGCACCATGCATCTAAGCTCCAGAAGGAGGTGGCAGGTCAAGTGTGAGTCCAGATGCTAACACCTGGTTAAGATGGCATACGACGGTCTATGAGTAACGGTGTCAAGGCATCCGTGCATCACCAGGTGATTGACTTCTGCATGACCTTGATGGAGAAAGACCCAAGAACTAATAGACTCTCTCCGCTGGCCCCCTGACGCCGTTTTGAATAGCAACCTTTTCCATCCCGTTCACACACCTACCTCATCCAACTTGCATAGCAGTGCTACAGTGTGCCTGTTCTCCGAGAGCCTTGTCTCTACCAGATCATTTTCCTGTCAGTTAACTTGCTTCAGTTCTGACTTAGGCATCACTGGGGTCCCTTCAGGTCATTGCCTAGGAGTAATCACTGAAGAAGATGTGTCAGTTATTCAACTACTGTGTGGAACCATACCAGGTGCTTTCCATACCTTTCCACTGTTTCCCCAGGTCGACATATACTGCCCCCACTGAACACATAAGCTGAGGAAGGCTCAAAGAGCCTGCATCATTGTCTTAAACTCTCAATTCATAAACAGAAGAGTGGTGTTCTATGCTGCTCTATCAATTGCATTCTAATCAAAAAAATGTATCAGGTCTTAATTCCAAGGGTGTTTCAAAATATTCATGGAAAACAAAACTTATTTAAAATAAGCTTTTTCTTGGCACAACAAAGTTTTGAAATCTGTACGGTTCATTCATTAGTGTCCCCACAAACTTTTTCTAGAGACTCAGTATCTGGATTTCAAGACCTTCTGCTACAAATTAAACATCTTTTTTTCAAAACTATTTTTTATTGGAAAGGTAGATTTGCAGAGAGGAAAGTCAGAGAGAATGGTTTTCCATCTTGATGTAATCAGAGGCTGGAAAAAACGCCTGGAGCAGCAATTATGCAGTGTGTAATGAGTGTACTGAAGGTCCATACCACCTCAGCTCTGTGTGCAGTCATAGCCCAGTTTCAGAGACAGGCACTGGATTTGAGAAGTTACCAGCCTGTTTCCAGTAGCCCAGGCTTACTGCTTACATGATTCAGCCAAAGCCGAGACAGCAGTCAGTTGTGGAACTGAGCTCAAAACTGCGAAATCGCCAGTCTTTCAGCTCTCCTGACTACTGCAGTCTGTAATGACCACAATGCACGTCGTTCTCAACGTCTCACAATGACAGGCGGATCACAAGTTACAGGTCACTCCCGTAAGGACCTCAGGAAACCCAGGCTTCGCTGCAGATGGGTGTTGACAGAGAACATTAGAGTTATCAAAATTTAGCACCTGCAGACAAATGACTGGATCTGTCAAGTGGCTAATGAGCCCTTGCACTGTTAATCATGTCATGGTTCCTGCATGCTGACTATCGCAGAGCTTTCGGTACTCACCCACTTGGGTTTATCAAGTAGACACATGCCCAGGTTTGAGTTCTCATTTCTCAACTTGTCAAATTATGTCACAACACAGATGTGGTCCTGTGACCCTCCAGCTTAACTCTTTCAATGCGTCCTCCTTGCCTGGGGGATAAAAGCCACCAGCTCAAGGGCAGTCTCCCCAAGTCTCTCAAGTTCTTCTCCCTATGTACCCTCTCTGTTGTCCTATCTTATTCCACTGTTTAATTTTCTCTCTCTATTCCAGCAATGCTCAGATGCTTTTTTCCTGTAAACTAGATCTCTCATGCCATCTTGTGTCCTGAGAAAGCTTTTATCTGATTCCACCTCCCAACCCTTCTAATATGCAAAACAAAACAAACAAAAGAACGGAACAAGAAAAAACAGTATTCCCTCAGAGAATTCTTTCCTGAAAACTGCAAGGAAGCTTATGTAAGGGGGCTTCCAAAAAATGCATGGAGATAATTTTAATGCAAGAGGATCTTTGAAACCCATGCCCAGTTTTTGCATAGTGGAAATCTCTCAGGACAGCTTTGAAGTCGTGTTGTGTCTGTTATAAGCTTCTCCACTTTTATTGCTGACAAGCACAGCTGAGCTGCTGGTTCTGCCTTTCTACTCAATGAACGCTGGGCGTAGATTTACCTCTGTGTCCCCACATGCCTGGCATTCAGAGTGCATTTGCCAAATGAACAGTCCTAGGCCGGTTCATGGCTAAGGACTGAGTTAACCCAGATCATTTAGACACTCTTGAGAGAGGATCTGCTGTCATTTCCTTTCCAACCCTAGTGGGAATGATAGGACACATTTTTCCTGCAGGAGCCAAGAGATAGTATAATCACCTGTCCAGCTAGATAAGTTCTAGGATTCTTACCACCATTCTGTCACGGGGAACATCCACCCTCCCCAAAACAGAGTGAGTTCATCTGATACACAATCAGACACAGCAGGTCACGGATGGAAAGACATTCTTAAAACTCCCACCAAGTTGGTCTTGGTTTCACAACCAAGCAAATTCTGCAGATGCTTGCTCCAACAGCCACCATAACGAAGGGAGGCACAGGTGTAAGGCATTCAGAGCAAACAGAGAGCACGGTTTAGCAGAAAGAGCCAAGAGGGCCCTGAACAAGGACCGGACACACAAGCTCCCCACCCCAGGCCCGCGGCATCTTTGCTTTTCATCATTTCTGCCATCACTGTTCTGTCTGTGACATTGGGCATGCAGGTTGTTTATGGAGTTCCTGTAAGCATCAAATTATATCTTTCACTGTTCTCAAAGTTCTTGATAATTCAATTATGAAAGCAATTTATAAGCTGTAAAATACCAGACAGATTGTGGTAATTTTGTTGCTGGTCCCTCAGAGCGGTTTTATCTGCTTGATGATCTGTTAATCGAGTGAGCTTTTTTCTTCTACTTTTTGATGACTGATAGAGATAGATCCCTTCTGACTAGCAGGAGAGCAGTTAAACATTGGTTGTACCTAGTCTAGATGCCAGACATACTTGAACAATGATTGGCTGTTTGCATCTCCCATGCCTTCATTCATTCTTCTAGCATAAAGTCTTAATGATGTAGTTAATGCTTCCTCATGGACCATACTTTTGCTCACTGAATCAAAAAAATGGTGACCTGAACCATAGTCCAGATAGCTAATCAACTAAGTAGAATGTCAAATAAAAAGCTTCTGTTCATTTATTTTGGTTTTTGTTTCTAAAAATCCACTTATAGAAGGTTTTAGCGTAAAGGTTAAGACAGCCTTACACCATATGGGAAGACTTAGGTTTGATTCCCACCTTTGGCTTCTGCCCCCATCTTCCAGCCAACAGAGACCCAAGGATACAGAAGTGCTGCTACAGCCTGTGTGGGAGGCCTGCACTGCACCCCAGATCCCAGCTGTAGTCCTAACTATTGCAGGAGTCTGAGGACTCCACCGGCGGATAAGAGTTCCCGCTCCATTCAAAGCAACTTAGTCTTTTACTTCTTTGAAAGTTTTATAAATTTATTAAAAAGGCAGAGTGATAGAAAATGAGAGGGAGATTTTCCATGTATTAATTTACTTCCCAAATGATGACAACCACTGGGGCCAGGCCAGGCCAAAGTCGGAATCCAGGAACTTTATCCAGGCGTCCCATATGAGACACAGCATCCAAGCATCTGGGACTCGGACCAACACTCCAGTACATGATGTTAACTGGACTAGGGACAGATTAACTCTGTAGACCATAACACAGGCTCAACAATAAACTTGTTTTAAAAAAAGATCCACTAATGGCATACTGCAATTTCAGTCTGCTTCAGGGAGGGAAAAGAGTGAATTCACACCGAGATGCAGATCATGAATTAAAGGCATATTTTCTGAGAACAAAACTTAAGAAATAAGGGAAGGCAAAAAAGAACTACATCTTGCTATTCTACTGTTTGGTTCTGAGACATTAAAATGGATTTATTTTTAAATGACCTTTTGAAATGCTCAGTCAAGAAAACCAGAGGAAAAACAACTCCTGTCTAAAGTGAATCCTTGTAATGCTTTCTTGTATCCTGTAGTATTTCTGCTACACAGAAGGCAGTAGGGTGAAGAGTATCCTGTTGAATAGCTTGAAATAGCCAGAAGAGAGCACTTGGAGTGGTGTCATCCACAGGATGACAAATGTGTGAGGGGACAGCTATAATATATATATGCTTCATATATGCATGTACTGACATGAGACACTATGCATAATTACATGTGAATTAAAAACAACGAGAAGTACACGCACGCACTCGCAGCCAGGATGACCTCTGCTTGTTTTTAACTGCAGGCTCATCAATGAATCTTTGAGGGACCAGCTGTTGGTGACTATACAGAAGACCTTCACCTACACACGAACCCAAGCTCAGCACCTGTTCATCATCCTCATGGAATGCATGAAGAAGAAGGAACTGGTATGTAACCCCTGCAGGCAGCAGGGCCCTCGCTGGACCCCCGTGCTCACTCCGCTGAGCTCACAGCCCTCTGTCATGTAACCCCTGCAGGCAGCAGGGCCCTCGCTGGACCCCCGTGCTCACTCTGCTGAGCTCACAGCCCTCTGCCATGTAACCCCTGCAGGCAGCAGGGTCCTCGCTGGACTCCCATGCCCACTCTGCTGAGCTCACAGCCCTCTGTCATGTAACCCCTCCAGGCAGCAGGGTCCTCGCTGGACCCCCGTGCTCACTCTGCTGAGCTCACAGCCCTCTGCCATGTAACCCCTCCAGGCATCAGGGCCCTCACTGGACCCCCGTGCTCACTCTGCTGAGCTCACAGCCCTTCTCAGGCTCCATAGCTCCTTAAACAGCTAAGACATGGCTCTTTCTGCCTTGGAGTTAATGAAGTATGTGCAGCCAGCTTTTAGCGTCATTTCCTTCGGGAACTCAGCTGAAAGTCGCTGATTGCCTCCACCGAAAGGGTTGAGGGAACAGGTTTCCTGCAGGGAAGCGTTTCCACTGATGACGGGCTAGGGCTGGTGTTTCACCTTGGCTTGTGAACGGTGGCTCAGAGCTGTGCTTCGAGGCCTACGTTCTTACTGACACAGAGTTGGGTCTCATATGCTAGTCTGGACAAGTCAAAAATGGACACATACACACTCCCCAAGGAATGCTGGAAACATTGCTTTTTCTCAACTGTCCTCCAGAAGCTACTGGAACCTTCCTTCCATCCAAGTGAAATATCATCCAAGTACAGAATAATTAGCCTTAGGGCAAGCAGAAACAACTGGGGCTAACATTTACCAACCACTGGCTCGATACCAGGCAGGGAACGCAGTCTGGATACATTAACTTGACTGATCCCTGCCCCTGTCCTGACAGATGAGCAAGCTCCAGCATGCTTCATCTGTAAATGAGAAACCAAGGCTCGGTAAATGAAAAAACAGTGGTGTTTCATCTCAAATTGTCTCACTGAACCAGTGAAGCAGAATCCTGTGGCTGGATGCCCATCAGGCCTTCACAAGGGGGCTCTGCTCTCAAAGGCAGCTGAGCTCAGCTGCTTTTCACAAAGGGTGGCAAGTCATCTGGAGAGATTGATTGGAGCAGGCAAAACCCTCTCCAGAAAACACACACAGAGACGTGGAAGCATTTCTGCAGCTTCCAGGTGAGAGAGCAGGCGCACGCGGATGAAGGCAGTGAGCCAAGGCTTCTCACTGTCGCAGATTTGGAGAGGATTCACTCATACACGTCACCAAAGCTGCTGTCACTGGGAGACTGTACTGGCCCGGAAGCGCCCCCTCGTGGTCGCCCTCCATCTTTCAGGAACATAGCTGACTGCGCAAGAGCCTGTTTGCTCCCCTCCCAGAGATGCACCTGACACCCTTGGCTTCTGTGGTTCACGGAAGGGATTTTCCTCTGAGCCCCAGCAGTTGGCCATTGCTAACTTGGAAGCTTGCCGGAACCGGATTCTCTCCTCTCTGTTCCTCTGCTCAATGTGTCTGATGCTTTGTGTGCATTCCCAAGGCTGAGTCACTTGGTTCTAATTCAACTAGGATTTCAATCATTAGGGATGGTCCTTGTGGTCTTCCCTAGCTCATAGGACAACTGCAGGGAGCAAGGGAAGCAGTCTTTGTTTTCTTTACAAGTTTCAAACAACATCCAAGTTCCCTGCTTCCTTTAACATATTTGACACGGTAATCCTTCATTAGTTAACTACTTCCAGTTTGAGTCATATGCTCTCACCACATTCATGGTGCTATTTGACAAACAGAAATGCTCAGATTTAATAAGTTGAACTTATCAGCCCTAGGACAATGTTGAGCCTAGTCCTCAGGTGCCATGTCCCCATGAGAGGCCGGCCCTGTGTGGACAGCGGTGCCACGTCCCCATGAGAGGCCCTGTGTGGACAGCGGTGCCACGTCCCCAAGAGAGGCCCTGTGTGGACAGCGGTGCCACCTCCCCATGAGAGGCCCTGTGTGGACAGCGGTGCTACGTCCCCATGAGAGGCCGGCCCTGTGTGGACAGTGGTGCCACGTCCCCATGAGAGGCCGGCCCTGTGTGGACAGTGGTGCCACGTCCCCATGAGAGGCCGGCCCTGTGTGGACAGTGGTGCCACGTCCCCATGAGAGGCCCTGTGTGGACAGTGGTGCCACATCCCCATGAGAGGCCGGCCCTGTGTGGACAGTGGTGCCACGTCCCCATGAGAGGCCGGCCCTGTGTGGACAGTGGTGCCACACTCACAGGACTGTGTCCTGGAGACACAGTTTCCCAGAGCTGAATTGTACACCCCACTCGCAGCTTCAGCCTGTCAAGTTGCTGCAGACATTTGGAAATTGAACTAATGGATATATGGGAATTCAGTGAAAAAATTCCCATTCTTTATTTTGTTTCTACTTCTTGCTTAATTAACTATTCCCTCTACTCTAATACCGAGATGATGTTGTCTGTTTTCTTCTACGATGTGTCTGGTGTCGCCTTTCACAATCTGTAAACCAACAAGACCTGATTTTTGCAGCTCACGTGAGAGCTCCCTCTGGATGCCACACTGATACTGCGCCAGTTACTCAGTGGTCATTACCTGAAGCTTTGTTCTCAGCCTTTTTTTTTTTTTTTTTTTTTTTTGCTTCCTGCCATTTTGTACAAACTTTTAGTTCCCCCCATGACTAATTTGTCCTTAAAATTCTGTCCTTTATTATTATTGGAGAGGCAGAGAGAGACAAACGCCACAGCAGCCCTCATTGAGCTGAATCATTGCTGATCACATGGGTGAAGAAACCCAGGTGACTGCCCGCCCCCGGGTGCACACCAACCTAAGCAGGAACAGTTCTTGAACCCAAGTAATTTAATATGGAACATACACATCCCAACTGGCATTTTAGGTTCCATTTTTCTAATAAGGCAATTACTTCCTGTGGTGTTTTAGTTCATCTGAGAGGCAGAGAGACACAGGGATCTTCTATTGTATTTCCTACAAAATGTCTCTAATGGACAGACAGGCAGTGAGGACGGAGGCTTGAACTTGGGAACTCAGTCCAGGTCTTGCACACAAATGGCAGGGCTCCAACTAGCTGAGCTAACACTGCTGCTTTCCAACGTACATATAAACAACGAGCTACAACTGAGGGAATCCAGAACTCCAATCCCAAGATCCTCATGGGATGAAGGCATCCCACGCAGCATCTTGATCGCTGGGACAAGTGTCTGTCCCGATTCCGTCAGCTTTTTTCTTTATGTATTTTGAGATAGTAGGCTTAAACTTCCAAGCTAGCTGTATTTCCTAGTGAATTATTTTTCTGTCACTGGTCTGTGACATTGTTGAGTCCTCACAACACCTTTCCCTTGCATTTCAGTTCACTTACTGCTAAAACACTCGTGTCTTCTTCTAGTTGATGCATCACTAGGGTGGAAATTTTCCATTCAACTTGCTCCAACTTATCTGTACTGTGTTAATACGCAAATTTTTAAAACTGGCATATAGCTTTTGTGAATATCCTATTATTGTTTTTAAATGTAGCTTGAGTCTATTTGTATATATTCTGTGGTACTTACATGGAATTAATGCTTTACCCACGTATTTATTCAGTAATACAGCCCCACGGGGTCTGAGTCTTTCATGCCAGCACCTCCCCCCTTTCACTGCTCATACAACTCCTGTTGGCTCCAACCAGAAGCTGTCCTTAAATTACGCACACACGTGATTTCTGCTCTTAACTTTTCCCTCCCATCTCCATGACCATCGTTTTGATTTGCAATTGGATGCCTCATCAGATGGCCTCATTGCTGTTTCAAGTGTTACACATTCATCCATGAGCAGAGCCAGCCCCTGCCTTCCAAGCCCCACACTGCTGCTCCTCTCTCCGTCAGGACTGCTTGGGCTCCTGCATTTGCTCAGGACCCATTTCCCCAACCCATCGTTACCAGGATGCTGTGGTTTCCTTCGGGCCAGGTCTCTCACATTAGCCTTCGCTTTTTAAAGTATTTATTTTCATCTACGTGAATGAATAAATTAGAGGGAGACAGAGGCAAACAGACAGAGAGGGAGAGAGGAAACCTTTCTAATCACTGGGTTAATTCTCCAGTGGCCACAACAGCTCGGGCAGGATCAGACCTAAACCAGGAGTGACGCTGTCCAGCTCTCCCATTGAGTCATCTTATGCTTCATCCAAGATGACCCAGCCCTCCAGTATGGGATGCAGGTATCTCAAGCAGTGGTTTATTCCACCATTCCACAATAACTGTGCTCTCTGATTCTAAAAACCACCGGCTTCATTCTGGTCCATTTTGTTCAGAAGCACCAATGCAATGAGTCCCTGCCTGAGGCCAGGAAGGGACCATCATTCTCTCTTTCTCTTCCGAGCTGTTGGACTAACTCTCACAGGCTTTGTCATAGGAACCAGCTCTGAGCTTGTCACTTCCTTGCTCAGGTAGCTTATAGGACTTCCATTTGTTTTAATTAGTACCTAAACTCTTCCTTGTTGCTGTTGCGCTTGAAGCCCCCCAACAGCCTCTATCACTTTCCCCTTGATCTTCCTGATTCCGGATATTGCTGCCGTTCTCCTCTCTGCCGTTTGTACTCAATTCTTACACAACTGCAAGCATGCAGTGTGATCCAACTGAGACATCTCATAATTATTGACTATTATTTTCAACAGCAAGATGTATAGTGTCATCTTACAGTTGCCTCACAGCCTGTGTCTAAGCTGTTCATTGGTGGAAGCTACTATGCATCACTGACAAAATGGGTTTTTATGTGTAACTTCTGCTGTGTTTAATAGTTAAAATAATCTGGCTTAAACAGTAAATGAAACATTTGTCAACGACTGGCAATACATAAATTAATAATGTCCACTTGACCTACATCTGGATCAAATGGACTTTATTACATAAATGAAACAGTCAAATGTCAAACGTTTCCAATAAAGATGAAATGAACTTATATTTACAGTTAAATATTTAATAAAGTCAAACACATTATTAAATTA